GTTTTCTCTTGACCTTGTGTTTAGTTTAATGAAAGCCCAGCCTAGGTAGCCACAAACTTTCAAACCACTCCTGAGATGTTTTGTCTTCAGACTCTGTGTTTGTTCTGAACATCTTAGCCCGATGTTGCAGAGTTCTATTAGAAGGGGAGAGGAGAAAAGCAGAACATGCTGCGTAATACAGTCAATCCCATAAGTAGCTGGTGTGTCAGAAAAGCTCAGAAGGATCATTAATAAACATTGCATCCCTGTGTCCTTCAAGCCCAGCAATACACTGGGACAGAAGCTTGTACTTCCAAAAGATCCAACACCCAAACACAAGCACGGTAACCTACATGGCAGTGGCGGCTGATGGTGCATCCAATGCAATGTAATGGGGAATGCAAATACCTGTATATTGGGGAGATTAAACAACCTCTCAACAAAGAAATGACCAACATAAGAGGGCAAATTCTATAGCTCTAGAGTCAGATTTAGCAGTCTTCCTATAGGAAGAAAGTAAAAGCGACATTCTTTCATGGACGGCGAGGAGCACAATTTGGACAAAGAGGACACGTGGTTCACAAGGGTTGAGAAAGAGGTCATCTACATCAAATGGGAACAATCATCCGTGAACAAGGATGGGAGCCTTTGACACCATTTGTTTTAAGTATATAATGCTGTTTTAACATCTCTACCCTGGCGAACTGACAACCATTCCCACCCTTTGCTGTATAAATTGGGGGATTAACACCTATGCAGACTTGCCGACACTAAGGATGGGATTATGTAACTAGATCAGGGTGGTTCCACAACGTTCACACTTCCCATTCTGTTCTTGGATGATCACCACCTACACATCCTATTGTGATTGAATTAAGGTGTATGTGCTACCTGTATGGATATAAATGCTGGGGTATTTTCTTGACACTCATTGGAACTGAAGACGTGGTTTGGAGACGCTACAGAACATCTTCAACAGTACAGAACACATCCGTTAGAATGTGACCAACTAACACCATGACCCGAGTAATTGAGAATCTTCACAGACTTATGCAAATTTAGGTAGAAAGTCACTTGCACTCCAAAGCGATGCTAAATCAATCTGTTTGTTGACTATGGTAGTGTAACATCTCAAAGCGATGTTTTGAAATGTACCATAGTCAATAAAGGGATTGACTTGGCATCGCTTTGGAGTGCGAGTGACTTTCTACCTAAATTTGCATATGATCTGCAGAGGCATCTGTTGTCACTGCCGCACCCACCCTGCTTTTGGGCTTTTCCGGTCAGGAGTACGATGGGATACACTTGGCCTTCACAGACATATTCTGCCTTTATACATTGAGCTTCATCAAGATGTCTGCAAAGCTCACTTAACGATACCTGTAAGAATATATTTTGCTCCTGGTTGGCCTCCATGTGTAAAGGTGTGTTAAGGGAAAACTATGGGGTGTGTGAATTACACTCATCCCCATAGCTAGAGCCAATGTGTGACATTGAAACTGTGACAGGTTGGCTCTATAGATTGGTAAGTGAGTGAACACATACCGTCGCTCGCTCACTTTCTGATCATCTCCCTGCAGAGAACCGTGACTGCCAGCACTGGAGGATCAGAAAGGCTAGGGGGGAATCCCTAAGGGGAGTGGTGACTGTTAGTTCCCCGCAGGGATTCCCACCTACCTTCTCCGATCCTCCAGCGCCAACTGGAGGAACGTATGGGGAGGGGGTGGGCACAGCTGGCTCTTTCTCTAGATAGGCAGAGCCCACTGTCAATCAGCCAGCTGGGTGGATTTCAACAGTATTGTCGGGATCCATCCCGGCTGTGGCGCTCTCCTCATATAGTGAGCAATAGCCTGCTATATACTGAGTTTTGGGTCACAGGAGGACATATACCAACATCCTCCCCGTGACCCAAAACCCTAAAGAGAACTATCTGGAAAAAAAGGTTACCCCATAGTTCTTTTAATATGTATCACTATTGTTATCCTATTCCTCCCATAGGTTTTGCCAGACAAGTCCAGTAGGTTTTCTTTTCTTCTGTAAGTTTAAATTTAAACTCCTGCGCCAAATCCTCTTTTCTAGGATGCAGTGAAGAAGGGTTAGGGCCTCTGTTAGTTTTTTTTTTTGTATTGTTGCCTTTATTCCCATTTGTGGACATTTGCTCTTATGTTGCTGCTAACAGTACAGAAAGTGAGAAGAAATCAAAGCTTTTACAGTTGTCACCAGGACTGGAGAACCAAGAACTTCTCCAAGCTGGATAACGGTGACACTAAATTTAGGAGCTAAAAGTTAAAAATACATTCAAGTATCTTAACTGCCTGGAGCTCTCTAGATCTGAGCGTGCGTCTTTAGACGTCCACTCAGACACGCGCGAGCGGGAAATTGCAGTTTTTTTAAAAACAGGCAGCAATGCCAGTTACCATACAAGCGTAAAGCCGGCTTTAATGCTGGCTTTAGAGCCGGCGGATCGCGTGTATGGGGTGCCGATCGGTGTCCCCCCTCCGCGGCCCCCCCCC